TAATTCAGTTTATATTATTGGCTTCTTAATATGTCAGCTGATTAACTTTATCTTAAAAGCTTTTACTTTGAAATTTCCCTTGCAAACATTTAAGTAGGTACATATATATATCCTTCATATAGCTCCTGATTTTTTTGTCAAGGTAGTTTAACTTGGTAATGTTATATTTTAATACTTTTATAAATGATCTATTGTCTTTACATGTGTTTGATTGTGTGTATTAAGGCTATGAACCCTTACAGCTTTTCTATTTCTGTAATGTACCACTTCTCTTAAAATTATGTTTCTGTAGTGATAATTAACTTTTAGGTAATTTTACTTATACATAAACGTGTTAATATATTTGGAAATATTAAAATATTAATTTCCAAAGTTATGGATTTCCTCCCCCCACTCCCTCACTCCCCTGACCCCCCATTACACTAGAAACTCTTATCTGACATAGTCTAAATCTGTCATTCCTTAGATAAAAAGAGTCAGTAAACTCAGGAAATCTTTTTTTTTCTTTTTAATCTTTACTAGTATTGTTGAAGGTATTACATAGGTCCTCCTTTTTTTTAGGAAATCATTTTAATGGACTGTCTACCTACCTTATTTTCTTATACAACATACATATGAAAATTTGTCAACTTTGCCAACCTTTTGACAAGAGGGCAAGCAAGGCTTTCTCTTTCCTTCAGTTATGAGACCATTGACAAGTGTTAATGACCTCTTTTTTACATGATACAGTGCCTACAATGAAAACACTTGCTAAGCAGTCTTAATTTAAATATATCTAGATTTTTATAATATTTACTAGGGGCCCGGTGCACGAAATTCGTGCATTGGGTGGGGGGGCGGAGAGTGTCCCCCAGCCCAGCCTGCCCCCTCTCACATACTGAGAGCCCTCCGGCGTTGACCCCCATCACCCTCCAATTGCAGGATCAGCCCCTTGCCCAGGCCTGATGCCTCTGGCACAGGCATCAGGCCTGGGCAGGGGATCCTCATTTCCCCCCATCACTGGCTCTGCCCCCCACCCAGGCCTGATGCCTCTGGCCCAGGCGTCAGGGCTGGGCAGGGGACCCCCAGCCCCCTCCGATCGCTGGCTCTGCCCCTTGCCCAGGCCTGATGCCTCCGCCAGAGGCGTTGACCCCATCACCCTCCAATCGCAGGATCAGCCCCCTGCCCAGGCCTGACGCCTCTGACAGAGGGGACCCTCATTTCCCCCCATCACTGGTTCTGCCCCCAGCCCAGGCCTGATGCCTCTGGCCCAGGCATCAGGCCTGGGCAGGGGACCCCCAGACCCCTCCGATTGCTGGCTCTGCCCCT